AGTCAAAGTCAGAGTCAGAGTCAAACTATCAGTAAGAGTTAAATAATATTGAAAGCAGTTTATAATATATAATTACGTTTATTATTTGATTGATTGATTTGAGAGAACAGTTAACGCAACAGCTCGTACGCACGGTATGCTCCAAATTTGAATTTTCGCCAACGCTGCACAGTCACCATCAGACCCAGGCAGATCCACATGATAATGACCACTATGGAATATATGGAAATGACAGATTGTTCAGACTCATCGGGGCTCTTCAGTATGAAGACCATGTTCCGAAAGTTGTGCTCGCACTGCTCACACCCGTCGAACTGCACGTCCACAAAGTCATCCTCGTAAGATTTGCCGAACATGAAAAATTGCCCACGCACCACCAGAACCAAGCCGAGTAGCGGAATGATTGGGCGACAGCCAAACATATTTCAAATACAAGAAAGAAAAAAGAAAGAGAGAAAAACTTGTGCTCTACTAAACAATTGAATTCTAACTGAACATCAAACTGAATTGCTGGGCTTCATTTATATTAGCGCTACAGTGAGCTATCATATGACGAACTACTTCAAACACTGTTCTTCGTAGAACTGGCATTGATCCCGTGGCCATTCCGACAGTGATAAACAAGCAATCGACAGCTGCAGTTCGGTTGAACAAACGGAGTTTATATATTTCCTACAGCGTTCATTGGACACCTTTATAAAGACTGAACAGAAGTGACTTAATGCAGGTCTTGAAAAATTATCAGAATTTCAGCATTCTTTTGAATAAAATATTTATATACACATATATATACACATAGAGCTTAAAAAAATTGTCTCTTATTTCCGCATTATAATCATTAATAATTAATTTGTTAAGTTTTAATTTGTTAAATTTTAAATTAATTCCAATCTCTTATAAATAAATAAGTAATTAGCTATACAGATTAAATTAAGCATTGAATATTAATAATAATGCTCTGCGTAAGGCTCAGGGTATTTCATAGTCTAGTTATAAAACTAGACAAAAAAGAAAGTATAAATATATTCATTTCCACGACACGAACAATACTCTGAAAATTTAATTGAAATATTTATGTCTATCTGAAGAGTAAGTCAATAGACATTTACGTACAAGCCTTAATAATGGGAAAGCAGGAATAGTTAAATTTTTTCTGATTTCTGTTTTTCAATGTTTGCTCTGCAATATGCTCAATTTATAATATAATACTCTTGAATATACCGATTCCCTTATTAGCTGTCAGCTCTGATGATATTGTTTGTGGTTTCTATCGAACTGAATACTTGTTTTCAATTTAAAGTCCCTAGCGTGAGTAAATTAATATTAATCCGTATGCCACGCCCACAGTAGAAGCTAATAAAGAATATTAACAGGAGTAAATTTGTCAAATTTCAAGATAGTAGAATCAGACTATAATCCAGACGTTGCCATCTGCCTGAACAATCCTTTAATTAATAATAAGCAGAATCTGCAGCTTACAATAAAGAGGCTTTTAGTCACTCAGCAGCAATTCGAGTCAATTTTAACTATCGACACAAAAACTCTTTACAAAAGTTTCTCTCTTCGATGTGAAGCAGCCTGTAGTGAAAAGAAATTAACTCATGCAACACTTTTAGAGTGATTGTGCACAAGTATACAACGAAAGGAGACAGTATTATATTGAGTATTTAAATGCGCTCAACTGAAACTCTTTGAGTAAGAACAGGCATTTCCCCTGAGCACGAATATATGAAGAGAGAGACAAACAGTATTCCACTCACTCAGCTGTTGCTGCAATGCTCTAAGTAACTATGAGTGCAAGCAGACCATGCACCGTTAGCAGTTATATACGAAAAGAGAGAGAGGAAATTTCACTCTGCCACACACTGAGCTATTTAAGGACTAAGAGTAAAACATGAAATGCATTGAGATGTTCAAAGCGCTCATCTGCAACTCTTTGAGTGAGAACAAAAATCAGGCAGTCATGCATTTGAGCTTTAATATGCAAAGAGAGTCCCGATATTTCCCTCAGTCTGCACTCAAACGTTGAGTTGCTAATTGCACTCACTAGCGGCTCTTTGAACATATAACACTCAATGTAGAAAATAGATAACGAATAGCTGAAATAATTACTCAGAAAATGTACTCGAAGCATTTGAATAGAGATATTACAATATTTATGTTATTCTATTTTATTTATATTTAATTAGCATCATTACAATTTTTTTTAGTGATTTCTTATTAGTTTTTGTTATTTTTTTTTATTTTTATTTATTTTTATTATTATTATTATTTTTTTTTTTTTTTTTTTTTTTTTTTGTTTTTTTTTATATTTTGTTTTTCTAAATAATAATAATAAGCTTATGATTTAGATTTAAAAAAAATATATATATTGACAACTAAATTTTTATTATGAGGACAATTGATAATAATACATATTTCATACATATATGCATATCAATATGAAATTATTGCTATTATTTATTGAAACTATTGTTTTTATATATACAGATGTACTATATATATATATATATATATATACCAAATGATTTCAAAATAATAGATACGTTTTTTTTTCTTCAGTGTCCATTTTTATTATTTCAATATTCTTTTTTAAAAACCTCTATAAACTACAGTGCTGAAAATTGATTTTAATCTATTTTTATGAAATAACACAAATTGTGGGTTCATTTTTTACACATCAATGAAATTTCGCATTTTAAATGGATTTCAACTTTTTCGGTTTTCTTTTTTCCTTTTGGAATTTGCATATTTTAAGTTAACAAAATGCAAATGGAGTAATACTTTTTTCTGGTTTTCAATCACTTGCCGAAGGTCAATAAAGGCAATCGGCACTCAATTTGATAAATATATTGTTTGTATCATGGAAAATGAACTTCCGATGCGCTCAACAAAGGCGCATCATAAATTTTCATATTAATTGAAAATATGTTCAACCACAAACGACATAGACGTGTACACACATGCACTATATAAATGTATTTGCCATACATATCTACATACGTTTAGCATATAAATCAACAGAAAGTTATAAATTTTTAGCTTGTAAATGAAATAACATTTAATTTCCTTGAGGATAACATCTGTTAAAACGATTTTGCAAATTAACTTTTACATAGGAACAGCAACAGCAACAGCAGGCGGAACATAATGGAAAATCGTACAGCTGGAAGCCTACAAAATTTAGGTGATGACACCCACAATGCCCAATGCGAATCTGTTCCAAGTTGCGTAAATCTTAGCCAAACAAGCTGCCAGCATTCCAAATACAACACATATACATATATATAAGCCCAGACGGACATGCAAACTACACAAGTAGCGATGCTTTGTAGTATGTCTATCGAACTAGACACGTACATACATATATCCGTAGTCGCAGTCGTAGTCGTAGTCGTAGTCGAATTCGCATTCGTATTCACATTCAGCAGGCTGTCATTGTCTGCGTTTGCACCATGCACATTTTGTGTATTAAAACTTGTCGAAATTTTATTCAATTTACGTGCACTTAAGCGACGATTGTGCATTAAGATATGACGCAAAAGTTGCAGCACTGCCACCACCTCCGCCTCCATCTCGGACCCCGTAATAGACACGGATACGTGTTGATGTTGTCGCCAATGTAAACAAAACACAAGTAAAAGTGATTCGAGTGGCGGCTGCTCGACTAGAAAATATCCTGAAACTTGAGCAGAGCTGTTTGTGTGGAAGAAGCCTACAATAACTGAAGCTATCTGAAGTTTTCTCGTATACTTGTGTACACTCATATATCTTTTATCTTTATAATATGTATTGCAATGTTTTATGGATGGTCGATCATGATAATAAAGTAAAGTAAGTAAGTAAAGTAATGTAAAGTAAAATATTAACCTATTATATTTATAAACAAAACAAATTATATTTATAATTGAAACCAACTTAAAACTTAAGATTTGTCTTTTGGGCTCTTGAATTTAAAGTTAAATTATGTATTTTGTGAAGCAAATATAAAGAACCTATACCTATGTATATATATACCTATACCTATGTATATATATTCATAAATAAGATAAAAAGAAGTTCTGAAGAGACAAGAAAAATCCCCCTATGGACAAGGCGAAATATAGTATCTGAGGATACATGAAAACAATTTAATAAATATTTCTGATTCATAAATGTAATATTGATTTTTATATTTTATAGAGTTTTCGTTTACTTAATATTAGAGGACGACATAAATCAATAATCTCAAGAGCACAAACAGACTAAGTAGACAGGAACGTGTGTATTAACTTGTATATCGGTATATTATAAATATATATTTTTGTTCATGTTCATACATTTAAACAGCAACAAAATAACCTGTTAAGCTTGCGAAATATATATAGACATACATTGGAATATAAACAATTATTTGCAGTTCAGCTGAAATAAAATAAGTCATATAAAATCAATTATTTTAAAAATTATGAAATATTAAATCAATCTAGTCATAAGTTAGAGTGAGAGAGGGAGAATAAGGAAACTATTAAGGAAATTCAACAGACGCTGCTTCGCCACTTAAATTGTATTGGGATTTTTATGATTATTAAAAATGTATATTTACAAAAATCAAAACAAAAAGTGTTTCGTTTTGTTATTTAACGGCAAATTAAGTTTTAATTTCTAGCTCCATAGTCGGTTTGAGCACTCGAATGTGATTCTTGATTACTAAACCTTACTTCATTTATCATATGAAATATCATAGTATACTATATAGATCGATGTGCCCAACACTTGACACAGCTAAGCAGACTTTCATTTGTAGAGCGGAAGAAACGATTTATTTGGATTTGCCAGACGCTTGCACTGATTGGCGGACCATCAAGTGACTGGACTAGAGAACTATTTATAGAAATCACAGTCACGCTCTGAGCTATATTTAACCCAATCAAGCATCAGGCCTGACCTCTTGGGAGCCTTGGGTGGGTGCTATAAAAGCCGGAGGCCAATTCACAGCGCAGTTCAAGTTCAGATCGAGAGCCCAGCAACCGTTCTATATCTATAAGATGGAAAAAGTTCTTGTCATTTTACTGATATATTTCGCTCCAGCTGTTTTTGGTAGTGCGGAATCGTGTGCACCCGGCAAGAGCTGCGTCTCCTATGACCTGTGCAATGAGGGTCTCCTTGTGGATGGCCACTTCTACTCCGATCGCAGTCGCACTATGCAGGACGAGCAGCACTGTCACTATATGGAAAAATGCTGCAGTGTGAACGAGACGGTAGGTAGAGTCGGAACTCTTATGCAATGAGTCTTTTCTAAAGTTAAGTTTCAGCTTGCAGCTGGTAACGGATTCAACTATAGCGATGCACTGTCAGCACTGCCTCAGTGTGGCGGACGTCTGGATCTTTGGCTCCATTTGCGTCCGATGGGATACAAGAAGCAGGAGTCAAAGTTCGGCGAGTTTCCCTGGCTGGTGGCTATTTATGGAGCAGACGGATACCTTTGCAGTGGAGCTCTGATCACACCACTTGCTGTTCTAACTGCCGCACACTGCGTCCACGCCCAAATGGCAAGGGATCTGCGTCTGGTGGCAGGCGAATGGGATGCAGCAGTTGAGCTGGAGCCATTGGCGCACCAGGAGCGAAATGTGTCCGAGCTGCTAATCCATCCCAACTACACACAATCCCCCGCAGCTCACAATCTGGCACTGCTGCTGCTCCACTCACAGGCGGCATTCGAGCTAGCGCCACACGTGCAGATGATCTGCCTCCCGCCCATGCAGCTCATCTACAACTACAGCCAGTGCTACGTGGCAGGCTGGCGGCACTCGGAGCTCAGTGCCAATGAGAGCCTGCCCAGGCGCTGGCCCCTCTACATTCTGCCGCGCGATCAGTGTGGCTCCAAGCTGCGCTTGGCCATCTTGGGTCGTCGCATTGCGCTGAACGAGACGCTCCTCTGCACTGGCGGCGACAAGGACCCCATTGTTTGCGGCGACATGGGTGCCGTACCCCTAATGTGCCCTCTCCCCGGCAGCGATGATCGCTATGTGCTCGCCGGGCTGCTGGCGCGTGCCGCCCGTTGCGATGGCCCTCAGCTCTTGAGCATCTACTCGAACGTGAAGTACTACAGGCGCTGGATCGATCAAAAGTTAAGGGAACGCGACCTGGACATAAGACATTATATGGTTTAAAGTAGATGGAAAGAAGAAAAGAGAGAGAGAGAGAGAGCTTTATGCTGAATGCTGTGCAAGAATTTCTAGCCTTTATAAAACTTAAGGATCGATATACATATATAAATATATAATAAATCTGCTTATAACTAGAATCGTCAATTTGACAAGTGTATTCCTATCGATATTCTTTATGCTTGCATTATTATTATGGCATTATGCTTACTAGAGAAATTGGAGATTGAATAAATATTTGGCTTGACCAGAGTGGCAAAGGTTAATCATGGTGAGACCCACCAATTTATACAAATGATCTGCGCAGTAAGCAGCGACTGCGCTGCAGTGCGGGTAATATTGTGAGAATTTATTTATGGAATAATTTCTCTTGTAGTGGGACTATCTTAATGAAACTATCAGAACGTGATCATAATAATGTATGTACATATATTCCGAAACACAAGTCTCTAATACATGAAATAAGTTTTTACAAATTGGAGGGTAAATTACAAAATCTTTGTATCGATCAACTGAATATACACAGTAAATCTGAAGTCTCTAGGTCTAAAAGTGCTCAAACACTAACCAGTGTTCCCTGGTTAGTTTATCAAATTAGACTGAAAAAACGAAATCAATTAATCGATTATTCTCGATCAAAATATATCGAATGCTTTATCGAATGGGTATATCGAATATGATCAAACTTGTACAGCGTATTACTAGGTCTTATAGCTTCTGAAATCTAGGCGTTCATACGCGCGGACGCAGGACAGACGGTCTGGGCTATATTGACTCAGCTTGTCGCCCTGATCAAGAATATATATACTTAATGGGGTCTGCGATGATTCCTTCTGCCTGTTACATACTTTTCACAAAACCAATTTTGCCTGGTTTCCCATTTTCAATGGGTTCAGAATCGCAGAATGATTTCAATGAACAGAGCAGAGTTAGAGTTCAGGGTATTTCCGAGTTAGGCACTACCAACTAGTGCAATATGCCAGCAACCTACTACCAGTTATATGAACATGTTTATACACTACCTGAAATATTGGGTAACTCCTAACAAAGTTGACTAATAGATCGGCTTCGCCTTCAATTCTTTGGGAAACAAATTTGTTCTTCACTCTTCTGTAATTTTTTTTACCATTGAAATTTATTGAATGTAGCTCTAAGATCAAAAATAACATACATAGGTAATACATACGTATATAGATCAATTGATTGAGGATTTCTAAACTAATCCATCTGTTGCATTTCGTACTATTGTATATGAATCGCATATAGTTCCAAAATATTGGAAATACATATGTATATAGATTAATTGCTTAATCGAAGACTGCTGGATTCTGTGCAATTCAATTTCAAGTTTCTCTTTTAATTTTACTTTTATTCCACTTCAGATATGAATTCCAAATGTGTCGCATATTGAACGATAAAACCTGGTCTACAAGCAAAACAAAAAATAAGCATACTATATATAGGGTATATTATGAAAAAATATCTGATGCACATAATGGCGTATTAACTATGCTAAGTCGATGCTCGAACTTATCATCCGCTAGAGTGGGCCCACACGAATCTCTCATGGAATGGGGCTGGTATGTGTCCCGGTTGGTCAGCTCATTCAGTCCTGCGTCAGTCCCAGCCAGCTCAAGCAACGTCACAGCGTATCGTTGAACAGACGTTTGCTTTTCGTGAAGTTGGGATGAATAGGGCCGGGCAGCACGTGCGGCTTGAGAGCGCTTTTGCCGGGCTGCCGGTTCGCATCGTAGGGCAGCTGCGGCGATAGCTTCAACTGTCGATAGTAGTCGCTCTTGGGGTAAGCGCTGTTGCACTTCGTCATGATGCGAACTCGTTTGCTGCCGCTTCCCGTCTGCGGCGCAGCTGCTAGTTTCAGCCGTTGTGCTGGATTCTTGGGAGTTCCTTGGACAGCGAGCGGATTCGTCAAGAGCTTGCTGTTGGCTTGCTTCAGTTGCACTTTGCGCGATGGCACAAAGTAATCCCTTTCGCCATCCTCCAAGGGTGCGTCCCAGCCGTTGTTTGAGTTCGTAGTGGATTCAGCTGCTTTAGTTTCTTCCTCTGTGGTAGATTCCTGTTCGCGTTGTGGTACTTTTGGCTTCTCAGTGGCCGGCTGCTTGGCCTGCTCCTTGGACTGTGCCTTGGGCTGCTGTTTGGATTGCCCCTTGGACTGATCATTGGATATTGGCTTGGACTGCTGTTTGACCTTTTGCTTGGGCTGCTCATCCTTCTCCTTAGTGACTTTCTTAATCTTGTTGAGCACTGGCTTATCTGCCGCAACCGTAGTCGTTGTCGTAGTCTGCTCCGTTGCATCTACCTCCTCCACCACCCAGGCATTATTAATGCTGGAGCGTACCTTCTCATTGTGCTCGACTTGCTTCTGTAGTTTGGGCGACAATGCTTTCTTGATGACATCGTCAAAGTTGTCCTCATCCACCTCATCGAAGTTGATGGACTTGAGAAGACGCTTACGCTTGGATTTGCTTAGCTTTTTGAGACTGCGCACAGTGCCAAAGTTCGACTCCTCAAACTCGTCAGCCTCACGGATCTTCTGCTCTACGAGCTCTGCAAATGGTGTGCCCTCGGGCTTGGGCATGTTACGCACACCCAATGGAAATTCGCCGCTTGCATACGTCTCAAAAATGTGGACTAGCTTACGCAGTCCCTTGCGCCGCTTGCTGTTGTAGTCCTGAGTGCGGAGCAGTGTCTGAAGCTCATCCAGCACACAGTCGGCATTTAACGGTAGTTCTGGCATCAGGACATCTACGTTTCCTGCACGTGGATCGAGCGTGGGGGTTTCTTGCTGCTGCTCCTCCTCATCCTCTTCCTCCTCCTCATCGAATCCAGAGTCCATTTTCTCCACATCGTCTATGGAGCTACTGGGAAAACCCATCTCTTTCCATGCCTTGTATTTCTCGCTGTATTCTCTACCCAGTTCACTCTGGTAGAGCAAGTGATAGAGGACGCGCGTGCGGCACTGCGACACTAATTTGGCGTCCCGCTGTGTACCCACATAGTGTACAAACGGGCGCAGGAAAAGATTAACCTGTTCGGCGGTGATCTCCTCATTGGCTGCCTTGGCCAGCTCCTCGAAGAACACATCCATGTAGTGCATAGTAATCCCACGAGACTTTGGCTGCGCCGCAAGCACCGACTCATTCATGCTTGTATTAAATGCCTCTATCAGATCTTTGTCCCATTTGCTTTTCTTGAGCAGGCGCAGCATGTAGCGCAGCATGCGACGCACAAGCATCAAAAATTTATCCATTCGCCACTGATCAATGCCAAACCACTCCTGGCACATAGTGCGCATAAAGGCGCTGAAGTACGCCAGACTGCAGGCAGTGTTGCCACCGAAGCTGTCTATCATTTGAGCCAGCTGCTCGGCTAGCTCCTCTTGCACAAGCGGCTTGTCCGACATCCATACGTTGTAGTACAATCCTTTCCAGATCCGCATGAAATCGTCCTCGGTGAAGGGAAACGAACTTGCCGCTCGCAGCTGGAACCATTTTCGCAGTTTGCGGATCTGACGATTGCGCTTTGTTAAGTCATTGCAGGCCAATGCACGCACGATTTTCACCTCCTGCGCAATCACAAGCAACTCCTTTGGGACCTTGGCCTGTGATGCACCATTGTTATCTTCGCTCTCATTGCCTTTGTCAATTGCAGCCACCTCAGCGCTGCGCTTTATTGGTCGCTTTTTTGTGACCATAATTGATTGTTAACAAAACGACAAGAACTTTTTCTCAAATTCCGCTGGTATGTATTGAACGCGGTTGCTACGAGAGAGAGGTGGGCGCACGTGTTGTGCGGCCCCGCTGTAATCGATAACTATTTGAAGCTCTGTTTGTCACATTTTACAACACTTGTCAGAATTGCATGCGTTCAATATTGTAAATACTAGAAGGTAATGCGACTATAAAAACTGTTTCAGCATATTGTCGTGTCGTCTTCATATGACAAATTTTGTTATCTTTTAGAAAAAAAAGTCATAAATTCATCACACATATTAAGCTGTTAAATATTGTACATATAAAAAACTATATGTATTTATGCATTTATGACGTACAAGCGGTTAAATAAAATCGATAATCGTTTTTCATTCGTGGTTTCGATAAATATATTAATTTGTTAACTCATTAATGAAAATTAAACTCTTTTATTTAAACAAATTAGTTACAAAATCATTTAATTCATATACATCAATGAAAATGATTTGCCTACAAGCATTTACATATGTATGTATTTCACGTACATATTCTTACCGGCTTTAAATACTAAAGAAATAAAGCGTTGCTGGGCATCACTTTTTACCAGCTGACATTCTAAGTAGCAATTCCAACTAAATTGGCCTTAAAAAAAATTAATATTATTAAAACTTCATCATCAAAATGCCCGTGTTAACTGTAGAAAACTCTGAGGACTATCAGAAATACATTAGCGCTGATAAAACAACTGTTGCCCTGTTCGCTGCCGACTGGGCCGAACAATGTGCTCAAGTTACCGATGTACTCAAAGAGCTGGACAGCATTTTGGGCGATAAGTTGCAATTCATTACGCTAAATGCTGAAAAATACCCTGATATATCAATGAAACATCAGGTAAGCTTATCTGCACTCCTGACGTATAGAGATGTCTGTACAAAACGTATTTCCAGATCGAAGCAGTGCCGACAGTAATATTCTTCAACAAGGGCTCGGCTGTGGATCGCGTGGATGGTGTGGATGTTGCTGCCATCACCAGCAAGTCCAAGAAGCTCGCCGAAAGTGCAAGCAGCGCTGCGGCAACTGGACAAACCCTGAAAGATCGTTTGACAGCGCTAATCAATAAGGCGCCGCTGATGATATTCATGAAGGGCGATCGAAACGCTCCACGCTGTGGCTTCTCTAAACAGCTCATTGCTATCATTAACGAAACAAAGTATGCACTAAATCTACATTTGTGGACAACATTTAATTTCGAGATATTTCAGTTTGCCGTATGAAACTTTCGACATTCTTTCTGATGAAGAGGTTCGTCAGGGATTGAAAACTTTCTCAGACTGGCCAACATATCCTCAAGTTTATGTAAAAGGCGAACTTATTGGGGGCTTGGATATTATTAAGGAGCTGCTAGCGAACAACGAACTGGAAGCGTCGCTAAAGGGC